CATGATGTATAACGAATATATAAAATTTGAATATAATCAGTCAAAGCATTTAAGAGATATGGCTCTAGAAGCCCAATCATTAAAACAAAATGGCCACCAGTCAGCCATTTTGAATCCAATCTGAAAAATAAAATGACGTGCATCAGGAACCCGCAATGTCTAATGTATGTACCAAGTTTGAACAAAATCCATCCATAAATGCCAGAAATGCTTGATATTTGATGATTTTTTAGTGCTAAAATGACCACCATTCGGCCATTTTGAATAGGATCGTCAAACCAATATATCTGTCTATCTATGACATGATGTATATTAAATGAATATTTAAAATTTGAACATAATCGGTGAAAGCAAGTCGGAGATATGGCACGAGAACCACATTCATTTCTATCTGAAAAACAAAATTATTTGCATCAAGGTCCCATGTATAATACCAAGTTTGAACAAAATCCATCTGTAAACAGCCGAGAAATGCTTGATTTTTAGCACAAAAATGGCCGCCATTTGGCCATCTTGAATCTTATTGAAAAACAAAGTGATGTGCATCAATTTAAAACAAAATCCATCTGTAAACAGTCCCAAAAATTTTGATTTTGATGATTTTTAGCACAAAAATGGCCGCCATTCGTCCATCTTGAATCAGATCGTGAAACAAATTGACATGCATATGTATAATATCCTGTATGATGTATGTGTGAAGTTTGATTGTGATTGGTCCAGGCATTTCTAAAATACAGGTCTGGACGCACACACGCACGCACGGATACATGGACGCACGGATGTCAAAGCGCAAGTCCCCAGTTTCGGACTGTGTCTGAACGGGGACTAAAAATGAACAATATGTATAGTATCAAACAATCGAACTTGCTGTTTTCGACAATAATTCGAAAATAACACTTTTTACCAAAAATTACAGCGGAGCTAGAGAGGTTATTATCTGACTCATCACACAGTATGATTGGTTAAGAACTAAATATTTGCAACTTTTTGCAAATAATTAACCATCTGTTGCAACTTATTTGGCAGCATGTTTACATTTGTGCATTTATTTCATTTCTGACCAAGTAACAAGATGGATAAATCCCTGATTGTGATTAAGACTGCACCATTTGGTCTAGAATGGTTTTACATTATCTTTTATATTATCTTGATGAAATACCATAGGAAAACCCACGGCAAATGTGATATCCCAGAGTTCAATGCGTTTTGTACCATCCAATATACACTTTATCTCCGCACGAGGGCGCAATTTCAAATTGAAAGAAAAACTAGCATACACGCTATTACCATTCTATGACCTCAATTGACCCACCAGCCTCATTCCCAACTTGATACTGGAATTCTCATTTTTTTGATGTATTTAAAGTTTTTTACCCGGATCGTTTTAACCATTTCAATAAATAGTTATAGACTATAATTGATTATGCGAAATTACTGCATTTTTGGTGGTTTTTGGCCTACTCCTTTCACTGTTATGTTAGAATTACCGCGAGAGTGCCTCCTATGGATTGTCAACATGGCAGCTCACAAAGTTACGTTCGGTAAGTCCTTTTTTTTACG